GGATTTCTCTAATTGTGGAGTGATGGCAATAATTTCAGTTTTGGGATCCATTAGAGATACATCTTCATGCAAAGCTTTTTCTTGCTTCAAGTTTGTTTCTCCTACCCCAATATCCACATACTGCTGTGAGACATCAAACTGTTTGGCACCTTCCCTTGATGGCTCTATTTTGGAAACTATATGTCCAGCAGATAAAGGTGTTTGGCCTAGATGTTGGTCTTTTTTGGGCAATGTCATGGGTTTCCCTGGAATACAGTCAATCATGAAGCAGTTCCTCACAAGTGTTCCTGTTAGAGGATCTACAAAATGTGAACTGCTCAAAGCTTGACAACATGGCACGGGATATACTTCAGCCTCTCTGGGTTCATGGCACATATGGATATACGAGCTGCACTCGGGTGAAGGGTTTGAAGGTACATGTCTTCCATGCACCAGGCAAGTGTTGCTTTTGACTGTTGCCTCTAAGTAGTCAACCGGTTTGGCCATATGGTACGGCAGGGTCTGCTCTTCTGGCCATGTATCTTCAACGTCAGTCATCGGCATAGTGTAGTGGAAATCTGCATACGAATCTTGGATACAAGACCCCTGCCTTTGACGCAAGGTCCTTGTGTTTGTATTTGCTGGATTGCTGGTGGACCAGCTTCTTGCTCGCCTTTCCACAAAGATGTCTTCCTCTTCCTCAGAGTCGCTGTCATCTCGTCCTACAAATATAGCACCACCTGACGCCATGTCAATACAAACTGAGTGGCTACCTGGCATAGTCTTCCTCAAAGAGCCCATCATATCATAATATCCTCCCGTAACGTTCTTTCCTATAATGGAGCCTTGAATGCTCTCCAAGTAAGGATCAGCATAGCCTTGTGGAGGACTTCCAAGTGATGGGGAGACACCTAAAGGCTCCTCCAGTTCCCCAAGTGCCTGTCTTAAGCTTCGAGACCCCCAGCTCTCTTGTGAAGCCTCTGTTGGATCTCGTATCAGGTAGCGGTCCATGATCTTAGGAGGTGATGGTTCATAGTAGTAACCTCCATCCCTGTCTTTGTATGAGACATAGTGACCAGACTCCCATGCTCTAAGAGGGCTACCATGGCCCAAAAGAGGCTCCATAGTTAGAGACATAGCAGGACTGGTGTCGGAATCATAGGCACTGCTTTTGTGGATATCCGCTGACCAATAAATGTCAGGTTTAGCTTCAGGGGGACAGTTCATACACTCCCTAGAGTCTCCACTACCTGTTAGAAAGCTTCCACTGCTGCCCCCAAACTCTGGACTGTAAGCACACAGGGTGAAGTTCATATCAATATTGCTTTGTACTGGCTCCTCAATGCGAATGTAGTACTCATTACTCACTGATGGACTGTGAGCACTCAGGACTGGTACCACACCAGGGGTGTGTATTTGTTTGGACTCATAATATGAAGGAGAAACCCCTAGGGCGAGTCCTTCAACAGCACAGCCCCCCACTATTCCACCTGGAGGGTAGTAGACCTCCTGACAATGGGGATTGCCTTGACCCAAAGTGCCTGAGGTGGATGAAGAATGGTAGTGTCGTTCAGCCCGTGCCTGCTCCCACTTGTACTCAAAGTTGAGGCCATGGCTGGTTTCAGTAACCGTTAAGATGTCATCTCCAGATTCTGAATGGTAGCCATCTCCAGTGGGGAACTGTTCCAGTAGGGGGAATGATGAAGTGGTGGATGACATGGGCATGTCGATTGCTAGTGCACCAGCTCCATGGACATTAGCATGGCTTGTGTTTGGTCTCATGGAGTTCCAGCGTCTCTCAAAGTCTTCCTCTGCCTCACTGGCTCCTTTGGCACATAGGTAACTAAGCAGCAGATGAACTTCTTCCGCATTGGGCCTCTGATCAGGCTGAAGCCAACAGAACTGCATTACTTCATACCTGGTGATACAGAAACACAAACATACACTTTTAGGGCAACTGTTACTAAAAGTTTCACTTCCAAAGTGACTTAATGAGTTTTTTAAAATCTATTTTTCAGTAGAAATCTAAACATCCTTAAAACAATATACATTTACTTGAGAAGTAACACTGCATATAATATCAAGATTTTTTTATAGATTGCATTTTACAGATTGAGATTAATCTATAAACAATATATATCAATATAATTGATTAGAGACTAATGGTAGTGGAGATTTTTTTTTTTATGGTAGTGGAGAATGGTAAATTTATTGTATTCATTCTATAACATTTTTCTGTATTGTGCTCATAAAAATATTTAAAACCTTGTATATTTACAAGTTTAAATGCAAAAATACATAAATCAAAATTACAACATGTTTGGACTCCAATGTGTCCATATAATTTAACGGTGATTTCAATTTCTTGTTTGTTTTAAGTGTTTCATAATATTTGTGTATTGCATGAAGAAAAAAAAAAAAAAGCATAAAATCTTGTAACAAAAAGAGACTCAGTATTTCATGTATTTATATCAAAACAACACTGCACAAATACAGGATATTACAATAAGGTTTTATCGATCATATACAGTATACTATTAATATCTAATGCAGTGTTGGACCTAGAGTAAATTTATTTCGTTTCAAGGATTTTTAGAAATTTTAATTGGAAATTTACACAAAAATACAGCTACATTGTGTTATGGCCAAACTATCTAAACAACAACATTTAAATAGTTTTAAAGGCAAGGACTCGAAAAAAGTAGGGAGAAAATTGAAAGGCTCTAGCAGAATGAAAATTCAAGGCTCTAACTCTAGGTAATGGTTAATAAAAAGAGTAAGAAGAGCAATATAAAGTTTATTAGACACCCACCAGCGGTCAGAAAGAGGGTACTTAAGAAGTGGCTTGGGCAGCTTCAATTGCTGGTCCTTTACAGCATAGCTGAGAACCTGTCGGTCTGAATAATGGCGGTACGGCTGATTCCCCAACTCAAACAGCTCCCAGATTGTTACACCAAGTGACCTTATGTACAGAGAGAAATTTTGGTAACTAACAGCAATTAATGCATCAATAAATAATTACTTGATATCTATAATAAAGGTTATTTATTTAGGAGGCGGTATGATCTTCCTTAAACTGCTAAATAAAGGCCTAAATTCAACACTAGCTGTATGTTCTACAGATGAAGGAATTTGCTCTGTGCTGTAGCCTCTTTTGAAGGTACTTACCAGATGTTGCTTTCCTTGGTTTGGTCCACCACCAGTAAGTTACCATGAACCTCATCAACCAGTTCAGGGGCAATCCAGCGTAAGGGAACCCAGGTCTGGTCTGATGTCACAAAGTAGTCATCCTGGGGATGAACAGACATGAAATACAAGTTAATGAAATACACTAACCACATTTTGAATAAAAAAGCACAAAATCAACTACTAAATGAATGTAATCTAACATTCAGGTTTGTATTACTATTCATAATTAGATATTTCATAGATACATTTTAGTAGATAAAAAAAATGTATAGATTTAAGTGCACACACCTTGTACTTGTTGTGTGCTAGTCCATAGTCTCCAATCTTAACTTTCATGTCTGAGGAAAGCAGGCAGTTTCTTAAAGCCAGATCACTGCAGAAAATCAGAGCACCAAAAATAAATGATAAGCACCTTCTGAAAATAGGACATGGCCTAAATGATTTCATATTGCTGGCTCAAACATAACTGGATGCCATTTACAAAACTGCAAGCATGCATAAAATTAACATACAGTTACAAAGCATGACAGATGCAATGCCAGAAATAGCCATAATTTTTCTGCATTGTGATGTTACTTTCCAAAAATAATTCGTCAGGAACCTGTTCAAAGCATCTTGGCAAGGACATGTTTAAGTTGCTTGTAGATGTGTGGTGACCCCCGGCAACAAAATCACTGATGCTGGAGTGGAGTAAAAACACTCAGGCAGCATCAGGAGATTGTTGCAGGGAGAAACCATGAGACAGGAAACAGGTAATGCAGATATTCACACTCATTAGCTTCATGCTCATACTGTTAAATCTGTTAACAGTTTTCCAGTACTCAATTTGAGAATGACAAAAAAAAAAAAAAGATAACTATTATATTTTGTTTCTAAAGAATTCAGATTCTCTAAACATAGATTTGTGCATTAAAATAGAATGTTGAAGTAAATATAAAAGTGTTGGCTGACCTATGGGTGAAGTTGTTTTTGTGAAGGTGAAGCAGGCCTGAAGTGATCTCACACGCCATCCTCTGAAGTAGTAAGGGGTCAGGGGTCATGGAATCTGTTGCCCAACAGCTGCGCAGGTAACCTTTAACATCACCCTGTTGACATGGAACACATAAAACACATGCTAAAACACAAAGGTAAGGCGTAAATTCAAATCAGTATGCATAAACATCAAAAGAGTGTGCTGTCAGCCTGATTTTCCTCAGCTAACCATTGGGGGGCGATATATAGCAAGACATCATGAGGGCAGCTGTTTGATGTTGTTGCTAAGGGCAGTTCTGTTTCAAAAAACATGCTGTTGCACATTTGACCTAGGTAGGCAATAACAGGAGAAGAATGATATGAAATAAAGGAGCACACTATCATGTTGTGACTCTTGCATTTCCACCTTATTTTTCAGTGCTGAAGTAAACTATTTTATTCTGAATGTACAAGACTTCTGGTTCATGAGCTGCTATAAATAACCAGAAGAATAAAAAAGTGCAGTTAAGGGTAAAAATATATTGGAAACAAACCACTTTTTCTTATTAGGATAAATTAAAATAATATGATAACAAATACCAGTTTGCAACATCAAGCAGCAAAATTGACTGTTTTTATATAGCTGAAATTTTCTGAAATGTTTGCTTTCTGGCCAAATTATCTAAATGATCCATCATATTGTGGTGTCTAGATAGGGCCTTCAATGAAAACCTATGGGATTTTTTAACCATTTTTTTTTCTTTTTTCTACACCAGGCAAAAGTCATTTAATAGCACGTCTTCCCTCAAGATATAAAGATATAATATTTTTTTTTTATAAAAAAAAATAAAAAATAATAATAAAATAAAAATTAAATTAAATTAAATTAAATTAAAGTAGGGTGTGACCTCTGTGCACTGAGCGAGGCATTGCACTAGAGCCGGATGCTGGAGAGACCTGCAGAAACAGTTTGAGCCCAATCATACTATACACTCATATTACAGAGATATTGTAGTTCACCCAAAAATTAATATTCTGTCATCATGTATTCACCCTAATGTTGTTCCAAACCTTTATGAATTTCTTTCTGTTGTAGAACCCAAAAGAACATGTTCTGTTTTTTGTTTTTTTTGTACATAAAATAAATGTCAATGGGGCCAGTGTTGTTTTGGACCCCTTTCACTTTCATTTTCATTTTATTTTTCAATGTACAGTATGTTTTTCAACCTTCTTCAAAATATCTTTGTGTTTTACAGAAGAAACATAATTTGGATAAAGGATTTTGTAGGTGAGTAAATGATGAGAAAACATTTATTTTTGAGTAAACTATCCATTTAATGTCTTACGGTACATTAATTAATGTGTTTATTACAAATTACTAATTATAGCAGACATTTTAGTCTAAGCAACAGGTCTATTTTTCATATGGTCCCCCTAGGAGGAGTTTGAACCTATGACTTTTCAAACCTTATTTATTCTTGCAAAAGAGATGAAATAAAATATATAAATGAAATAATGCATGATTGTTTACCGGTATGGCCGAGCCTCTTCCAGAAAGTGCATCTGGTCCTGCACGCTGGCACTGGCCTTTAGTTCCTTCACCACCACCTGGGTACTGCTGAGACCAGAGTGAACCTCCCCCAACAATACCTGTGACACACAGATACACAAACACACAAGGGAAAGACAACAGAAACACACATACAGGTATGAACAGAGGGAAAATGGACAACACACACAATTATGGACAGGGTGACACAGATAGACACGAACAGATGTGCACATAAAGGAAATGGGTACACAGGAAGGAAGGAAGGAAATGGAAGACAGATATTCCACACAAACAAAGCCAAAAAGGTTTAAATCAAGTCCAGGAGTCATGCGAAAAGATGCTCAAAAGGAAATGCAGAAAGACGAAACAACACAAAACCAGATGAGACATCGATAAACATGCAGCCACAGAGACACAGACATACAGATGGACATACCCATTCAATGGAAAGTTGGGGTAATTGGGGTAGTGTGTGTGTGTGTATATGTGTGTTATAAAAAGACAAAGAAGTAGAGAGAAAGAGAGAAAGAATGAGAATGAATGAGGCACAGTTATTCCCATTAAATACTAAAGAGCTTCTGGAATTCACTGCTACACAGAAATATCATCAAATTCTCACAGGGAACAGTCAAGACACAAGTCCAACATCAAAGTTTGAGTATTACTAAGGTAAAACAGCGTGGAAGATATTTTCACATCCTTGGGACTAAACTACAGAGCTAAATCTTTGATCCATAGCAGAACACACTTAGGGCGTTCATGTCTGTGAGGTGCACAAAAATACAAAACAAATAAACAATAAACTACACTTACCTTGCCAAACCAGCCATGTCCAATCTCCTTTATATAAAGCAAACTGTGGCGGCCAAGATCCGTGGGTCTCAGGAGCTGGACTAAAAGATGATTATCAGGAAATAAAAAGACAGAGATAGAGAACAAGAGACAGAGAGCAAGACATTAATTAGCAACTGGACCAATGGAACAATGTCAAATTTGGAATTCAATATCTAATGAAATCTAGAAAGCTTTAGAATTTGAATCAAGAAAAATGACATAACATGAATAAATATTTCTATTGTACAGATGTTCTTTGCGTCTTTTGAAGCACAAGATGCTTTTTGGATCATTCTCAAATTTTAAGAGCTGCTGTCATCACCATTCCAATTAATTTGATACGCAGACGATATAATTTTAAATAAAAAATTAGAAAAATGAAATGAGAAAAATGCACAACAGCAGCATTTTCACTTGTACTCTCAAAATTTTGGACCCCTATTTAATACAAGAAAAATACTGATAAAAATGTATTACATTTAAATTAATTTGATTAAATAGATAAAAAAAACAAAAAAAACCCAATATGAATAATGTTAAGAACCGTTTCAACACACCCTTAGTGCACAGTTGAGCATTGCAGGTGCATTAAGTCAAGTTTCGTCAAGATTTTCCTCCAACAAGACAATCATCCTCCAAATATCCTCTCCAAAAAGCAGTGAGCGATCTTCTGTGCAAGAGTGATGTTAAACGGCACAAAATCAATTTCAAGAGACTGTTTGAAGAGTTCAGAATCTTCCCGTAAACTATCAGACTGCTTGAAAGGCATATTTTCTGAAAAGCAGAAGTCTACCGCAGTAGGGACGGATTTGATGAGTGATTTTCTGTACCATTCAACCTCTCGTCTGACAGATCCTTACATATCTCTATCATCTCACAAAGCCATAACAGTCCCTTTCTCTCTTTCTCTCATCTCATCGTGCCTACAAACAGACAGTTTATTGTCAGTGTGTATGACATACTGTCTCACTCTCTGTCCCCTTTTTATGCAGCAGCCATATTTTACGCCCATGTGGTGTTGTAGAGGCTGCTCATTCTGCCTGCCCCCTCTCAGAGAGCCCTCGCTGGGAAGAATTGGGCTCTTTGTCATGCCGGCGGTGCTGGTTGGTACCACTGAGAGGATGGAAACACTAATGCTATTATTCCTGAGTTTTCTAGCTCGAGACTGGGAAAGGACTGGTAAGCAAATCAGAAATGTTTGATGTGGGTGCGGGATAGGAAAGAACAAATCAGAATAAATATTATATTACAGTGGGATTGCAAACAACAGTACAGAATATATGAAGAGACTGAAGATATTGTTTCAGACTGCCTGGGTTTCAACTGTGCGAAATTAAGGTATGAATTAAATCAATTTTTATATCAAACATTAGCAGCGCAAAGCCAAATACAAAGAACAATTTCAAATATTATACCAGTGTTGTTATTGTTAACTCAAAGTAAAACTATTAAAAATAACATTTGGTATTCGAAATAAAACTGAAATAAAATAAAATATCAATATTAGATGAAAAACTTAACTATAACTAAAATAAACAAGTTCACCCAAAAATGAAAATTCTTTGCATAAAATTGCTGAATAAAGTAGCTATTTTTGTTTTCTTTGTGCAGAATACGTATTCTCGTAGCTTCATAAAATTAAGATTGAACCACTGATGTCACATGGACTATTTTAACGATGTCCTTGCTACCTTTCTGGGCCTTGAACGTTTCAGTTGCGTTACTATCTATGCAGGGTCAGAAAGCTCTCGCATTTCATCAAAAATATCTTGAGTGAGTGACGTGTGGCCAAGTACGGTGACCCATACTCGGAATTAGTGCTCTGCATTTACCCATCCAAAGTGCACACACACAGCAGTGAACACCCACAAACCGTGAACATACACCCGGAGCAGTGGGCAGCCATTTATGCTGCGGCGCCCGGGGAGCAGTTGGGGGTTCGGTGCCTTGCTCAAGGGCACCTCAGTCGTGGTATTGAAGGTGGGAGAGAGCGCTGTACATTCACTCCCCCCACCTACAATCCCTGCCGGTACGAGACTCGAACCCACAACCTTTGGGTTATGAGTCCGACTCTCTAACCATTAGGCCACGACTTCCCCAATCAGACAAAATTTATTACTAAAACTAACCAGGCCCGATCTTCATTTGTGTTCCAAAGATAAACAAAGGTCTTATGGGTTTGGAACGACACGAGGGTGAGTAATTATAGGGTTAGTTCACCCAAAAAAGAAAATTCTGTCATTAATTACTCATCCTCGTGTTGTTCCAAAACCGTAAGACCTTCGTTCATCTTCGGAACACAATTTAAGATATTTTTGATGAAATCTGAGGGCTCTCTGAACCTCCCATAGACAGCAAGGTAACTACCACGATCAAGGTCCAGAGAAGTAGCAAGATGATCGACAAAGTAGTCCGTGTGACCTCAGTGGTTCAACTGTAAAGTTGCGAAGCTACGAGAATACTTTTTTGCGCAAAGAAAACAAAAATAACGACTTTATTCCGCATTTTCGTCTCGGTGCCGCCACACGCTCGCGTCATGATACTGTCGTGAACGCGAGTCCACAAGTGACGCAGTAGAGACGAAAATGTGGATTTTTGTGGATTTTTGAAAAATGTTATTTTTGTTTACTTTCAAAAAAGTATTCTCGTAGCTTCGTAACTTTACAGTTGAACCACTGATGTCACACGGACTACTTTGTCGATCATCTTGGTACTTTTCTGGACCTTGAACCTGGTAGTTACCTTGCTGTCTAACCTTATATAATTTAAATATCTTAAATTGTGTTCCGGAGATGAACGAAGGTCTTACAGGTTTGGAACAACACGAGGGTGAGTAATTAATGACAGAATTTTCATTTTTGGGTGAACTAACACTTTAATGACAAAATTTATGGGTGAACTATATATTTAAGTACTAAAATTACTAAAACTAAAACTGAGAAATAAATTTGTTTTAAGTAATATTTGTAATAAATACTATATTAAAAATTACTAAAACTTTAAATGTTGAAAAAGCTAATTCCAAATATTAATAAATAATACAACAGGATATAAATAGTATTGTAAAATAACACTGTATTAAACAAAATCAATACTTGACAATTCTCTAGTATTCTGCTAGAACAACCAGTTTGAGCTGTGTTTTGGAACATGACAGATGGTTTCTAGATGGCCATTAGCTGGTCCAAGCTGCTAGACAACCTTGCTGTTAGCTTGTCATACTAGTTTATGGTATTCAGGCTGTTTTTTGAACATGGTCTGACTGACTTAGGCCAGTTAATTACCAGTTTAGGTCAGCTAGAAATCTGCTACAATGTTCCAAAACACAGCTAACAGCTCAAACTGAATGCTTCAGCAGGTTAGCATTAGCTTGGTTGAAAAACGCAAACTACTGTATTGGCATATGTTTCTTGTTTACAGTTGAAAGACTCCAAAATATTGCTTTTCTCATGTCAGTCCAGTACTTTACAAATTCACTTTCAAAAAATATAGCGAAATGTATTGCTTATAACAAAATGTCATTACAAATCCAAACCGAATAACAATTTCCAGATGATAATCCATTTTCCAATTTCTGTTCTGCTGGAATATCCATGCCAACTATCAAATTCCCAAAACACAGCTAACTGAATTTTCCAGGTTAGTGGTAGTTTAGCCAAAAAAAGCGAACTGTTGGCATTTATTTGTCTTATACAGCCATGACACACCAAAATATTGCTGTTACGTCAACCAAGTTCAAGACTTATTTGATTCTATTTATTATTTAGTACACTGCACACACACAAAACCTTAATTTAGGAGACTAACTTCCACATTAAATGCACCTGTCACTAAAACTTCAGTGTGTACGCAGCCAAATATGAACAAAACAGCCCTAAACAGAAAAACATTGAGGTCTGCCAAAAGCATGACAACAACATGCCAACAAAAATCCCACCACGTATCAGAATTTGTTCATAGTGTAATTTGAATACATGATTGACTACTTGGCTTGCTCATTACTGCGGTGTTGGTCAGTGACAGTGCCACACTGGCCAGATGGCTGCTGGGAATGCATTCGCTGGGAAAATAATGGAGAGAAATCATTCGACTCTAACCAAATAGAATTATCATACATTATTGAACACGGTGAAAAGTGTTCACTGCTGCTGTGCATTTTGCTTTATTTGTCCCTCAAGACTGTTTTTCACAGCAATGCAAATGTGTTTGAATAATATTTTAGTGATGTAGCTTAATGAAGTGAGTGGGATAAAGAGGGTGTGTGCAAGTTACATATGAAATTATGTGATCTTTAGAGTATTCGCTTGCTCAGATCTGTGTGTGTATGAGGGTGTGTTTATGAGCACAGCTGTGTTGGGGTGGATGCTGCACACCAGAGTGCAATACATAACCTCTTTGGCTGAAACATCTAAAATCGGATGATAAACACTACAATTAGCTTCTTCATTTGTCTAACTGACATCCCAGGAGAAGAAAGACACGTCTGATTACAGACAGATGCTATCTGTGTCACGGTGACTGAGACCTGCACTTCCTGGCAGGAGGTTTGTATTTCTTACCTCAACCTCATCCTTGAGAAGTGACATCATTCCAGCCACTCCTAAAGACCAGGGCCGTTTTTGAAATTCTTATTGCAGACTATACCATAGTGGGATTTTGACTTTGATTACGTTAATGAAATGCCAGAGCATGAGAGTTGTGTGAACTGAATCTAGAAAACCACAACCTCTTAACCTCTGGCCTCTACTAATCGCACCACATTAAGGCCTGCCAGGCTATAATAAAGTGAGTTGTTGTGGGGAAGAGAGAGACAGAGTATCCATGGATCGGACTGTACACATCGTCTGCCAGATTCCTTAGATTCCAAGGCACATTTATGTAGGCTGGCTGAGGCGGCATTATGCAACAGGCAGATGTTGTGTGGATTGAGATGGAATAAGAAGGAGAAAACCGGAAAACAAAGACAAAACATTTTTTTTTTTTTGATTTCTAGACAATTTGCTAGTGGGGTAAGAAAAATAAACTTAATCAGTGAAATATTCTATGTAAACAAGTCTTAATCTTTAAGGATGTTTGTACTGAAAAACAAGGGATTTCGTACCAGTGAAGCGCACGCAAATAACAGACATTTGAAAAAAAGAGAAGAAAAGTCTGTTTCTTTTCAACATGTTTGTTCCCACCAGCCTTGTGGTGTCAGGGCAACCCATAGATTACAGTCCAGAGAGACAAAGAAAGAGAATGGTTGAAGGCAATACGGAGAGCCAAAGCTTCCATTAATTTTCCATGTATATCAGAGTTGTGCGCTATTTGAAATGAGAATGCTAATTCAGTTGCTGAATTTGAATTGAGGTAGAAAACAAGACTACAATTTGAATTTTAATGTGAGACAGCTAAACTGAAAGGTATGGAAGCCCGTTTCCGCCACTGAATAAAAAATAAAAAAGGTAATTGCGACTTTTTATCTTGCAATTCTGACTTTTTTTTCTCAGAATTGTGATATAAACTTGCAATTGTGAGTTATAAAGTCAGAATTGGGAGATATATACTCACAATTGCGAGAAATAAAGTCAGAATTGCGAGTTAAAAATGTGCAATTCTGACTTTTTTTCTCAGAATTGTGAGATATAAACTCGCAATTGCAAGTTATAAAGTCCAATTTTGGGGGCAAAAAATACTGATTTGTTCTCGCAATTGCGAGTTTATGGGCCCTATCATACAACCGGTGCAATGCGGTGCCAGGTGCAGCGCACGTGTTTTTTGCTAGTTTCAGCCTGACGCAGTTGTCATTTTCACGTCCTGCACCACGTTGCTTAAATAGCAAATGCATTTGTGCCCATTTGTGCGCACATGGGCGTGCTGGTCTGAAAATGAGGTGTGTTCAGGCGCATTGCTGGTGCGTTGCTATTTTGAGGCAACTGAAATAGACTGCACCATTGACCAACAATAACCTAGTTTGGCGCAATATTTTTTGTTATTTAAAGAGCGCTTTAGTAATATGCGCCTATAGGCGGGTGCACAACACGCGTACACTTTGCTTATTACACACACAGGGATGCGCAGCAGCACACAAACATTTTAAAAAATGAAAAATTAAAGGATTAAAATGTAAAAGATTATTATTGTGTACATAAATATAAAAATGCCTACATGTCATAATGGATAGTCTTTGCATGTATCAGAATTACACGCATGAGCAGATCTGTTCCCTCACTAGAGAAGCGCTCCGTTTTTCCGCTTGCAAATTCTGATATGCAAATAGCGAATCCGCCATGGTGCGAGCGCAACTGGCTTTTAAAGGGAATGGGAGATGAGACTCTGATTGATTTATGGCACGTTACGCCCAAAACACACCCATTACTCATTAAGAGAATAGGGACAACCCTTTCAGACCATGCGCCAACACCATTTTTCCCGTCCTTAAACTAGCAAAAGTGGATTCGGACATGCCCTAAGCGCAATTGCGACGTGCGCTTTAGACCATGCGCTTAGATTGTTAAAATAGGGCCCCATATCTCAGAATTCTGATAAAAAAAAGTCAGAATTGCGAGTTTGTATCATGCAATTCTGAGAAAAAAGTCAGAATTTCGAGATAAAAAGTCAGAATTGTGAGATAAAATGTCGCAATTACCTTTTTTTTTTTAATTCAGTGGTGGAAATGTGCTTCCATAGAATGGAACTCAAAGACTGAAGATTCATATAACTGAAATTTTTAGTTAGAAAAGCAAATTTAAAAAGACTTTTAGTTTGAAGGTCTGTTTTACAGAGACAGACTGACTTATAACTGAAGTAATGGTTGAAAATTCAGCTTTGTCATCACATGAATAAATTGCATTTTAAAATCTATTTAAATATATTTTTAAATTGCAATAATATTTCATAATATTACAGTTTACTTTATTTTATATCAAATTTATTCAGCCTTGGTGAACATTTTTAAAGTGAAACATTTTTTAAATCTCACCAACCACAAACTTAGTGGTAGTGTAGATACTGTATGTTTGAAAAGTAACCAATAGAAATTTGTGCTTAGTTTGTATATTTCATCATATTTACTTAATCCAATTTTTAAATTGAAAAAAATCCTCATCCCATCATTCCCATTCAAATTCCAATTCAGCTTCCTGCAGGGTGTGGCCAATTTGATTAAAATTCACACTCATAAATTGAAGTTTGCATTGTTTAATTGTGAATTTTGCGCAACACTGATAGCCATCAGCACGGAGCAGATGGCCTGGGTTCTGAAGGTCCAGAGCAAAGCAAGGTTGTGGGAGACTGTCTGCCCCAGGAGGGAAGAGTGGAGGCAGCAGCAGGGCGTTGGTCTCTTCTGGATTTTACACTGGAGATCTTGTGGGTTGGTAGCGGGACCGAACACATTAACAATATCCTCTGGAAAAAAAACTCAGTCCAGAGAATGTGAAACTCGTATGGGAGTTGCATAAGCGGGCTCAGAGCGGATTCAGGACTGGGAGGAAATCAGCCTTTCTTAAGTGCTATCACATCTGGTCCAGCTCATATAGCAATTTCCACAGATGCGGTGTGACGATGACCCACCTGATCGGCCAGGTTGCTTGGCGACGGGCAGTGAGACCTCAGTGAGAGGCAGGATATAGACGTCAGGACCGGTGTGAGATGCAGGCGATGCCGGCGTGGACATGTTCGCTGGATATTCTTCTCCCTCTGCATTCTCAAATTCCTATGGTACCAATGAAAAACACTGAGGTCAGAGGTTACAGTTGCAATGAATGTGTGAATGAAGAAATGTCTACCAAGCTAAGAAACATATGTTTTAAGAACATTTTGCTAACATTGACATTAAGTTATGAAAATGTTATCTCTGTATTAAGAACATTGCTTCTTGGTTATATGAATGTTAGATTAACATTCCATTCTATAATTTTGAAAATGTTCTAAAAACTTCCCCGTTAGCTGATCTTTCTAATAATTAAAGGACTTTCTGAGAATAATCAGAAATATTTAGTTCATCAGTTACATGTAACATCCAAAAATGTTGTTCTAAGCACATTTTCTATTATTATTATAAGAACATTATATGGGTTTTCTGTGAATATTATTATCACTGTTTTCTGCTAATATTAAAAACACTCAAATATTAATAACATAAGAATGTTCCAAGAACATTGTTCTAAGAACCATTCCTCTTCATTCATCAAGTACAAATAACATCACAAGGATTTTCTATATATATATATATATATATATATATATATATATATATATTAAACAAGCAGATCTTTAAACTGAAAAGAAACATCAGTGACTGTTTTAACTGAGGAGCGTTTAACCTGATTATTTTAATAAAATGAATACAAAAAGAACATTTAATGCTTACTGGAACAAATGCCAATTTATTAAGCAGTCCATTAAACAGCCTGTCACCATAATCTGATCAAATAATGAGCCATCCGTATAATCTCAAGAGCTTTCAACTGGTACTTCTTGCCCCAATATGCTTTTCATCTCCACATGGATATGGTGAAACTACAAAGAGAGATGAGACAGTGCTAAGAAAAGACAAGACTTGGCAGCATCTGGAAATCGGAAATGCTCCTCCAGATGCAAGCAAATTTTCTGTGAACTCGGGTGCGGAGATACAGGGTCGAAGAAATGGAAAACAGTGACCTAGAGGGGTCGCACACACTTAAAAGCGCAAGCTAGAAAACAAATACACACAAACACTCAAGTTCCCCTAGAGGTCCCATTAACCATATCTTCACACGCCCCACACGGGTGCCATATGACCCGGCTCCTGATCTGCCCAGCGCACGGCAGCGCTACCGTACGCTAGGATTCCCAACAGGGCACAGTGTGAGCCTAACTAAAAGACTGCAATAATTTGTTGCCTGAAACCACATTGCTTAAGTCACAGTAAAAACATTCCTGCCAGCTGAATCGCACTGCATTTTTTATCACAGCAGGCTAATAATCAGAAACATCTAGTGTGCACTGTTATATCCTCTGATGAAGAAACATCTGGTTTAAGCAAATACTGGTACTGTCTTTTACAAGAATATCAAAACCTGTATTTAGTATTCAGGGATTATTTTTTAGGACAAGCCAACACATCCACCCAAAAACAATAGATTTTGCAATAATCTTTGACAAAATGTTTTTTGGAAGTAGCTCATAAAAAGACCTGCACAAAAATCTTTCTCTCTTTAAAAAAAAACGTGTGAATATTTTGTCAGACAATGTGGGGGTAAGTTGTCACAATGAGAACCTGCTATTAAACAGTCAATAAGCAACATTTAAACAGCACGACATTTATGAACACACAGAATGCATTTGCATAACCATATCTGTTAGACTACAGTAATTGTTATATAAAAACTGTATCAAATATGTGTAAAATTGTACAGTATATTATAATATAAAATACATGATGAACTGCCCCAATTAAAATCCACAATGACACAATAGATATCATAAAAACATGTTATGATATTAATTTGTGTCCCAGAAGACAATAAAGAAAAGATCTCTTTAATTAAATATTTGAAACAACTTAAAGAGAAAACCAGCATTTGCGTAATTTGACTTTTGACTCAAAGCCTTTATGATAGCTTCCCAATGTGACAACTTGCCCCAGTCTGCCTTAAATATTGTGTTCTATGTGCACCAATGTCAGGGAGCAATACATGATTCCGATAATGGTACTGTATATAAAACATTTTCAGATTTCCATGGTTTCATATCACAACCTATATCCACTATTTAAAATAAGGCGAGTTACACTTTTAATTAAACAAAGTTAAATTATATGCAAACACATTTTACTAACATATAGCATACACACTACTATTCAATTAAAACAACTTTCTGAAGAAAGCACTGTTCTGTAAGGCCAAAGATTTGATTAATTTTCCATCTTACCTGCCCTTAATGCACACGTGTTACATCTAACAGGTTGCGCTGAATATTTAACTCTTCCCTTCCGCCCCGTGAACCTGCACCGCTGGGCTCTTCACAGAACACCTGTGAGGTGCCCACATGACCCCAGACGGATCCCTCACCGGACTGAACATTAGGAACCGACCCATGCTGCCACACAACCGGAGAACCCAGGTCTTGAGAATACATTATTATAACTCTCAAGAAAACATACAAATAAAAAGCAAATAGATCCTGCACTTGAGAGAGAGAGAGAGAGAGAGAGAGAGAGAGAGAGAATGCAGGGAGGGGCAGTTCCTGTGTTCTTCCCATGAGAGTGTGGACGACCAGTGATTAAGAATAGTGGAGACGCTTCCACAAAAATGTGAGGCTGAAAGAAAATTCTAACAGGGAAAGGCTTTCACATTCTGTGCTTATGACATCACTCTTTCTTCTTCATCCTTCCTTCCTCGCGCTCATTCTTTCTAACATGTGCATGACAGGCCCTTGCTACAGCCATCGGCACAAATGAGCACGCTCACATGTATGCTTGTATGCATGTGCATTCATTTGAAGAGGTTAGATTTTGCATTTCTGCATATTTAGAGTATATTACAGTACGTACTAGAGTATATTACTGTTCAATTGTTTGGGGTCGTTTTTAAAGATTTTATTCAGCAAGGATGCATTAAATTGATCAAAAGTGACAGTAAAGACATTTATAATGTTGCAAACGATTTCTATTTCAAATAGATGCTCTTCTTTTTAAAGTTCTATTCATCAGAGAATTATTACAAAAATATTAAATATTAAATATTAAGCAGCACAACTGCAACATTGATAATAATATGAAATGTTTCTTGAGCACCAAATCAGCAATGATTAATGATTAAAGAGTAATGATGCTGAAAATTCAGCTTTGTATCACAGGAATAAATTACATTTTAAAATATATCAAAATAGAAAACAGTTATTTTCATTTGTAAAAATATTTCATAATATTACAGTTTTTTTTTACTGTGTTTTTGTTTAAACAAATGCAGCCTTGGTGAGCATAAGAGACTTGTTTCAAAAGTAAAACATAAAACAATTTACTGACCCTACATTTTTGAACAGTAGTGTAGGTGCACAAATATATATCTGTACTACCGATTTCAATTTAAACTGAAGCCTTGAATCAAATCAAATATAAAATATACAATATACAATACAGACAAACGGACTAAAAACACTGACTTGTTGCAGTTTCCGATCAAGTTAGCGAACACTAATTTATTCGCCAGCACTTGATGAGTGTTCATTATTGACTCTGCATATACAGCACTCAAAATATAATCATAAAACACACTTGGTGCACCTTATGTAAGCACTGTATTACAGTCGCACCTCAAACTAACAAACAAAGTTGTTTCTCAGCGCTCACTTTTTTTTTGAGAATGCTAAAGTGGAATGAATGAATCAATTACCCTCAGGCTTGTCAGACTCCCAACCTCTATACAAGAACGAGAGAGTGTTAAATAGACAGAGAGACAGAGGGAAGAGGAAGAGTCTCTTTTCAGCAGCTGATGTTTAAGCGCTGAGCTGTAGTTCCACTGAGGGATTGTAATTACAAATATTTGGCCTTTACAGGAGACCAGGTGCTTAGAAGCATGAAAGAGCCATCCTCCTCTCTCTCACACGGGCATCATTTCTCCTGTGCCTTGACCCACTTTAAAGTTGCTGATGAAAAATGCACAGTGCGCGCTGAGATCTATAGCCATATGCCACAAGGCCTCCGCTGTTCGCTACAAAAACACATCTACAGGGAAGCGATTGTGTCCCTGCTCTCTCTCAGCCTCGGTTCCTTTAACCTTATGAGACAGGACTAAGTGGTTTGCACTGAAGAAATTGCTTTTCTCTGGAACTCTGGGACTCTGTAACCTCAAAAGGGCAAGAGGACATGCAGCTGAATAGAATGCATGTGTGCATGTGCTGTGCTACTTTTCAAGTAGCTGATCAAAGCATTCCTACAGATCTGAAACAGACTCAGAAGTGATTCATGAATGATGCTTTTCAGACTTTACAATTTCATTCATAACTGCAGGATGGCAACAGGCCAAGAAGTTGCAATAGAGAGAGATGCTTTTGTGTAAATTCATTGCTGACTGGCAAGTATGATTAAAATCTCTCCCAGTGAATAATCTTTCAATGTCAAATAGAGATTCAATCTGTAGAGATGTGGCATTTATATCAGTGTATTTACACTTGATTCTGATTGGTCAGTTGTGGGATTCTAAAATGATTTTTTATTATACATAACAGCTAAATTGTTTAATTGATTCCTACATAGCTAGTTTCATGGTTCAATGGCTCTCTTTCTCCTCACATAATTTCAACTCATCAATATTTCATGCCTATTTTTTTTTACTTATTTGGTATAATAAAGTATAATAAATCTCTGCTTCTGGCAAATCGTTACATTATTAATGCACATTATGCTTACATATTAATAGACAGTGGCATGAGAAAGTTAGAACATTATAGTATAATATAGGATGATCTTGTTTTATCATTGTTGGTGCACTGCAGACAATCTCATTCCTAATGGATATTATTTGTTTTCCAGTAAAAGTATTATAGCTGAGAAATAAACATGAATTAGATATTACCAGAATGCATCTTTGAGATAAGTATAGTCTTTTTTTTACCTTTTCACTTCACAATAAGAATCAATCTAGACAGAAAACAATGTGAATGCCACTATTTGCATTAAGTAGTAGCTATAAATAGCAGAAAATCCTTCGATTTTAACATTGTGTAAATAGAATCCATCACTATTTGCACTAAGTGTAAATAGCATCTATCTCTAAGAAAATATGCTATTTTCATTTAGTGTAAATAGCATTTCTTGCTATGTAAATAGCCTCTATCATTATTTACACTTTAAGATAAAACAATAAATAAAATAAAATAAAGGGAATGCAAGTTTGTTCATATAGTGGATTTCATACACAGTGATATTTCAAAGTGCTTTACAGAAAACGAAATAAATAAAATAAAAAAAATATTGTATAAGAAATAAAAAAAAATAAGGGAAAATGAAATTTAAAACAGAATAAATTAGTTTAAATATAATAAGATTCTACATTAAAACAAAAAAAGTTTTTGACTGGAAAACAAGATAGACACTGTGTAGATTTGCATTGTCTGCTTATTTGATGGCCCTGACACTAATATGGTATATTTTATTATGTGTGTTCTGATTGGGACTGAATCTTGCTGAGTTGGCTCATTCCAAAGTGTGTGCCCTATGAACCATGGCAGTCTGATGGAATTTAAGAGCCACTTCTTGTAAAAGTGATTGAAATGAAAGAGGGTCTCACCTTAAAGCCAATGTCACCTCTTTTACAGCACAGGCAAGCCAGCATGAGGAAGATGAAGGTAAAGAGTCCAGAGAAAGAGACAGCCACCACAGCCAGAGAGGACGACCAGGACAGCTCACTCAGTGGAGCGCCATCTGCAGGACAGACACAACATTACACAAACTAAACAACTGCTATCACAATACAGGGTGAGGGAGCATGAATACACATATTGCACACAAGTACTCTTTGTTTTGATTATTCTTATTTGTGCTCCTAGACAACCAATACTACAATAGTCTTTTACCAATCACATGGATGCAATAAAATGCAAGAAGCTTGCTAACAAATGAACAAGGACATGATTTTTCTTAACATCAAGATTTTAGGTTAAAATGCTTATTTTGGTGTAAGTTTGTGCTTTTAGATGCTGTAACTGATCACCATTCATCACTCAACCATCTTTTCAATTTCACTAGTTGATTTGAAACATGAATTTGAAATGAAGTGAATTTTTAAAGCATACAAATATACCATATAGTCTTTTAATGAATACAAGGCCATGAAAACTACATGCACAATAATCATAATACAATATAAATGCTGATTACATAGTTTTAACTACAGGTCAGTTTGACTCTAACTTTTAGCATTTTACATTCAAGTTTCAATAGCATGAAGAGCAAAACATATCTATTTATGATGGTTCTTCTCAGCATTGTCTTGGATTTCTTGGTTTACTATTGTCCAAATCAAATTCAGTAGGTGTGCCGACAAGATTGCCTGTCTAAAAATGGTTTGCAAATATTTTATTCAAAACAACTTTGAAGACAATTTTAAGTAAATTATGTGTAATTTTTTGTATAAACATTTATAATGGCAAAAATAATTTTCAGAATAATTGTTATTTTAATTGTTATTTTAACACTGGTGATGAAAGGCTAGATTTTATTATTTCTCTCAAAATTGCATGATAAAATTGAAACAAATTAAGCATGAAAACCTAAAATATATATCTTTTTTTAAATGTCAATCTTTTTTCACAGGACAACTGCAGTAATGCATGGTCTCTTATAGCTAATTGATTTAACTGATGGCATCAAACGGTCCTGTCTATATGATAAATGACTTTGGTGAGAGAAACTTTTGGCCTTACAAACTGAATTTAATACACCATTGAGTCTCTTCTGATTTCAGTGCATTTAGAATAAGCAAAAAATGCTGTAGCAAAGAGAACCAACATGGACTGAATGAAGATACTGACATCCTGCTGTTTTCTCTCACTTTTAAACTGTCAGATCTATTACTGCGATACGCAGGCCAGTGGCATATACATTATTAAAGAAATGTCAGGGCAAACACATACAGTAATAAAGAGCATAATTATCAATAATACAAGGGATATATGATCTAATTCATAATCTAACACAACAAAATAACAAGACCAAGACTGATAGTGATTGTCAGTGAGGTCATATTTGATATCTTTATGTATTTAATAGAATTGCAGGGTCTTATTTTCACTCCAATTTCGGCTCCAGTAGTTGCCTTGGAAACTAGAATGGATAGAATGAGTGTAAAATCTGCAGTTGGCTGCAAAAAGCTCAGTGTTTCAACACATCCCCTCAATCCATGAATCCATGCCTCCATCCTCACCTTTCAGCCCACTCATCTATCTATCTATCTGTCTATCTGCCTGTCTGTCTGTCTATCTATCTAAAACGACAAAAAGCAGACCATGAAGATATGGATGAATAAGATGTGAGTTTGTGTGCACTTGGCACGTTTTATGAGCACTATGTTGTGAGGCCTCATGAAATGCATTCATCTATATTTCATTCCCTCTGGTGCCAG